TTCCTGTCACTTGGTGTACTCACTCTTAGAACCTTTCTGCCGTGTTGTGAGGAAGGCCAAGCAGCCCTGAGTAAAAGCCTAAGTGGAACGGAAACAAAGCCCCTGGCTTTGCAGCTGCACCAACCTGCCAGCATGTGAGTGCACCATCTTGCAAGCGAATCTTGTAGCCCCTGTTAGCTACCCCAGCTGGGAGAAGCAGAGAAAAGCTGTCACTGCTGAGCCCTGCCCAAACTGCAGCTCTGTGAGTAAAATAAATGATTGCTGTTATTTTAAGCCACTTAATTTTGGGGTGGTTCGTTATACAGCAATAGATAACCAGAACAGTGGGTAACATGGTGAGGAATCCATTCATTCCCTAGTGTGGAGGGATTGTAACGAACGCTTATTGGTTGTACTTGGAGGTGAGTGTATTTTCGTGTGTGTGTGTGCATGTGCATGTGCATGCACATGTGCATGTACGTAGGTGTGTACAGATACTCGTAGGCTAACTGCCCTGCCAGTGGCTCAGAGTTTATGCTATTGAGTGTGGTCAATCTTTCTCATGAAAACAAAGCATGGACTCAACTGACAATAGAAGAGAGAGATGTAACTTTAAATATAATAACAAGGATGACCAACAATTATTTCCAACTGTGGTGTCCAGAGGGAATGGTGAGCATAAACACCCCTACTTGCCTGTCCGTGACTCTATCCCACTTCAGAATGGGACCTGCAACACGGTTTCTTCCCATCTTGGAGAAATAAGATTTTTGTTGTGTTAGCAAAGTTTTGATGCATCACTGTTTTTTTTTTTTTTAATTTACCAAGAAGAGTCAACAGTGTCACACCAGCTGAGGAAACTCATATAAAGTCTCTGAAATGTTTTGAGCTTACTGAAAGACCAAACCACCAAACTCTGCAGTAATGGAGAAATAGGAATATTGCAGTCATACTTAAAAACCAGCCAGGTTCTCTTTGTCATTCAAAAGCTGGGGTTTTCTCTCATCTTTTCAAGAGCTTTCGTCATTTCTTATTTTCCTTTGGAGACCAGAGCATCATTTTCTTTCTCTTTCTTTCGTGTGAGGGGCAACCACAAGGCATGAGGGTACAACTTAGATAATGTGAGTAAATAAAAGTTTTTAAAAATATTGAGCAATATTCTCCCAGCATGCAAGTCCCAGTTTGGGGAAAAAAATTAGGTCCTTTTGGAAGCTGCCTTAACTCTTTGGTGTCTCCATGGTACCATTAAGTAAATGATTGCCTCTGCATCAAACAGCACCCCAGTGGCCTGAAAGAGTTAATGCAGCTCCAGAACTGCCCACTGTGGTCCCAGGAAGGAGTCTGAGCCTTGGGAGAATCTAGCTGAGTGTACAATTACTGTTCAAATCACAGTGGCCCAATTTGCTTTATTGTAGAGTGCCTCCTGGAGTCCCACTGCTGGAAGACGTTCTAGATGCTTCTGAGTCAACTGCCTGCAAATTGGTCTTTTAGGGGTTTGCCAGTGCAGGGAGGAGGCACAGGAATTTGTTAGGAAGACATCACAGCAGAGTTCTCAGTCCTGGGAAGGGAAATAATCTTACTGCAGAAATTCCCAGCCAAGAGGACTGACTTTTTCTTTCCAGGGATTAAAGTTTCCAGGTGATAGCTGGTTTCCAGGTGGTAGCCATAAATTTCTTAGACGTACAGATGCTACTTGGGTATGTTTACGTATGCATGAAATAATTCAGCTCTTCAACAGTTGCTTAACTGGCTCTCTGGGCTTACCCTCTGCCTCAGCCCCAGTTTCTGTAAAGTGGTAATAATAATAGCAATACCTATCTCAGAAGGTGTTGTGAGGGTTAGGGGAAAAAACGCGTGTAAGCGTGTGAACCAGCATTTGGCAGGAGACCAGCACACAATACATTTGGCCATCATTCTGCATATTGTGGGTTTCCTAATCATGTGTTCACTTATCAAATATTTGTCGAAGGTTTACTATGAGCAATCGTGTTTAACATTCATCTAGCATTTTTGTAGTTTAATAAAGTTCTGATGTACTGCTTTTTTATTCACAAAGGAAAAGGGCAACTCTGTCCCTCTATAGGGTGGAAAATAAAAAAAATATTTCAGATACATACAAAGTTTTTCTCAAAATAAAATAAACACCTGAGTACTCACGACCCATATAAAAGAAATAAAACATGTCAGATAAACTAAAGCCACCTGTGTACACATTCAAGAACTCATTCTCCTTCTGCCCTTCTCCAATGGTAACCCCTGTCCTGAATTATCTTTCCCAGTGTGGGAATATCTGTATACTTGTATAGATGTATATAGTACCCATGGATATATTTTTTACATATATAGAGAGTATACCCATCAGCAATATTACTGTATAATTTGTATATGGTCTCACGAGTTTTTGTAGAATCATACTGTAATATACTTTTGCAACTTACTTTTTCTGTTCAACATTCTATTTCCGGGGTTTATCCGCGTTGATACATGTCACTCTATTTCTTTTTCAGTTCTATACAGTATCCTATAAATATGCCACAAACTATTCGTTCATTGTCCTATTGATGAACAGGAAGTTTTTCCCACTTCTCACAACTACAAATAATGCTGCATGAATGGTATTTCCTGTTCACATCTCCCTGTGCATGTGTCCAGCATTTCTCCAGGGAACGTACCTAGGAGTGGAATAGCGGGGTTGTAGGATCTGTGCCCCTTTAACTTACCGGTTTGGGTTAAATACTTCTTCAAAGAGGTTCTTCCAAGTTATCCTCCATCAGGAAGGCATGAGAGTTTCACACTCCCCCACATTCACCCACAAAGCCTGTTGTCAGGCTTTTCCATTTTACCAACCCGAAAAGTATAAAATATCTCATTGTGGTTTTAATTTGCATTTTCCTGATTATTCGTAATTTGTTATTATTTTATCTTTTGTAAATTACTTGCTATTTCATTTGTGTCTGTTTCTAAAATCAGGTTGTATTTTTCTTATTAATTTGTAGGAGTCTGGGTACTCTTCTTTTGTCATTATATGCATTGTCAATATTTTCTCCCAATCTGTGCCTTGTCTCCTCATTTTGTTATAGCATCTTTTAATATAGAAAAGAGTTTTGCTTTTTAAAAAATATAGTATGTGTAGCCAGGAAACAAATAGGAATGATTTCCCCTTGGAATTTAGATGCCTTTCTCACCTTTTTTAGAAGGAGGATGTCAGCTTAAAAAACACTCTGTCAGGCCTTTGGTCAGAAATATAATTGCATATGAATGGTAAGTGGGGGCCAGCGGATGGCTGTCCAGGAAAACTGCATTTCATAGAGGCCACTACTTGCCAGGAATGTGCACAGCAGCCTACCTCCCTGATGGGAGCCTGGGGTGCAGAATTGCCGAGAACTCAAGTCCTGGGCGAAGGGTAATCACTCCACTCTGGCTGTTGGTCTGGAAAGAGCTCTCCTCCTCCTAGGACTAGTAAACTCTGCCTGTGACAGCACAGTAGAACAAAGCGAAAGACTCCAGCGAAAAGCAGACCTATGAACAGAGTTACTACAGAAACCAGGAGGAGATTCTGGAAAGGATCTGGCATCCCAAGCAGAATTTTTAGTCGTGACTTCTATGAAATAGTATCCTAAACAATAAGGAAAAAAAATCTGAAGTAAAAGATGACCAGATAGGATAAAATAGAGAAGGGACAGGAAACAAAAAATTTTAAGGAAACTAAAAAAGAGAGCCGGCCCGGTGGCGTACCAGGTAAGTTTGCACGCTCTGCTTCAGCGGCCTGGGGTTCGCAGGTTTGGATCTCGGGGGGGACCGACACACTGCTTGTCAAGCCATGCTGTGGCGGCATCCCATATACAGTAGAGGAAAATGGGCAGGGATGTTAGCCCAGGGCCAATCTTCCTCAGCAAAAAGAGGAGGATTGGCAACAGATGTTAGCTCAGGGCTGATCTTCCTCAAAAAGAAAAAAGAAAAAAGAAATAGGAGATTAAAAACAACAACAAGTGGACTGCGGAAGAATTTCCTAAGCCTGGAACTAAAACCAGAAAACAAAGGAATAGATTGAGAAGTTTCATTTCATATGAATTTCAGATTTCTGTATAGCAAAACCAAACAATATCAAATTAAAAGATAAATAACAAATTCAAAAAAATTGCAATAGTATTACAGACCAAGGGTTAACAATTTTTTTAATAAATAAAGAGTTTTTTTTAAATAAATAAGAAAATAGTGAAAACCCTAATAGAATAATAGGCTAAGAATAAAAACAGGCAATTCGAGAAGCATGAAAAGTAATCATCCACTCTCATAGTCTAGAGACTGCAATCAAGATGAGATATTTTTTCTTCTATAAAGTTTTTCATTTAAGATGAAAAAGCATGGCAATGCTCAGTGTTGGCGTGGGTGTAGAGAAACCGGCCCTCCCCACAGACCCCCTGGAGGCTAATGAGGTAAACTTTTCTGGAGAGTGCATTAGTAATCTGTACCAAAGTACTAAAAAAAAAAAAAGCACACCCTTTTAACTTGCAATCCCATTTTTTAGAATTAATCTGAATGAAATAATCGCATGACAAAACTAAGATCTCTGCAGAAGAATTGAGAGGTGTGTAAGAGGAGAATCAATGAGACACAGCAATTGATGGCTAGGAAGGTGAGAGAGATGGAGGTCTAGATAATCACTCTTGGGATTTCCCACAAGGGCAACTGGCACTTAGAGGGGCCATTCACAGAGACAGGTGCAGCAGGTGTAGAGAAGGCAATGGATTCGGGTCTGCCCGTTTGCCATTTCAGGAGCACGGGCTCAGGGGAGATGTTGGGCGCCAGTTAGACATGTGGGTCTGGAGCTCAGCAGGAAGTTGAAGAATTCAGAGGCATTGCGGTGGGGATGTGATGGAGGCTGTGAGGGTAGGTGGGATGCACCTGGGAAAGCGAGTGGAGCCATTGGTTCGGGCTGGCAAGCACAGCGGAAGGAGACTCTCACGCCTTTCTCTGTAGCTTTGACATCTCTTGATGGAATCCTGTTTGTTGCATGTCAGGCATGGGAGCACTCCGTGGGGATCATCTGCTTTCCCAGTCTCCAAAGGCTGGCAGAAGATGTTTCCAATCAGTTTGCTGAAGAAATACAGAAGGCGCTTCTGGGAAAGCCTGCAGGTAAGAGAAGAGGCGTCATGGAGCACAGTTTATGGAGAGCAAAGCAGCTCTGCAGACCCCTCCCGGGACTCAACTAAGCCCCTCTCTGCTTTCTGGTGGACTTAGAGTAATGCTTCCAAAGAGCCTGGCAGGCCCAGTTCTGCCACTCTTCCCTTGGGAACAAAGGGACAGGCTGGCAGAGGAGGGAAGGGGGAGCTGGGGAACTCTGCTGCTTCTGGGAGGGACACACACACACACACAGACCCACACATGTATATCTACTTAGACACAGACACACATACCCCACACCCAAACACACATGCACACACACACACATACACACAGACACACCACACACACACACACACACACACACACACGTCTCTAGGAGGAGTGGTAACATAAAAGGTGCGCTTGAGTGTTCAATGGAGAGCTTGATCCAGAAAAGACAGAGGAAGGGAGAGGCCAAGGCGAAGCGTGTTTTCTGCTGCGGGGTTTCCCGACTGCTTTCTTCCACTCCTGGAGCTGGACGCTGGAGGCCGGGCAGAATTTCATGGTGGCTATGGGGCTGAAGGGCAGGAGGGAATTCCTGGGGGAAGGAAGAGCTTGAGCTCTTGGTGTAGGTTGCAGGAATCCCTGCAATATGAGGGGCTGTACAGGAAGTGGGGTGAAGACTGGATTGTGGGAAGTCCAATAGCTAAGGAGCTTGTTCTTATTGTTGGTAATAGGGAGCCACTGATGGTTGTTGAACAGAGATAGTGGCATAATAAAGGCTATCCTTCAAGGAGATTAACTGGGCAGAGTGTGAAATGTTTGATATAGATTCAGGTGGCACTGGGGGATGGAGGCAGGAGGCAGAAGTCCCCTAAAGATGCTAAGGTGCATCTCGCAGAGAGAGGAGCCTAGTGGAGGGGGAGGTGAGTGAGCAGGCCACTGCACCGCCCTCTGGTGACACTTTCTCCCATTACTGCGCTGTTGCTAGAGCAAGCACGGGCAGCAGCCGGGCAGCTGCTACGGTGGAAGGGAGATGCGGACCAGGATGGCTACCTGCTCCTGAAGTCGGTGTATGTGCTTACGGGGACAGATTCGGTAAGTTCCAGGCCCAATCGCCTCAGCTGGGTGCTCCTCATCTGTGCGCACAGGGATGTCCCAGCACAGGGTGGTGGCACATCTCAAGAGTGTCTTTCTTTCCATGAAACTGATTTCTCATTTTTCCTCCCCTAGTCCCCTTGTGAAATAGAACATGGACTTTAGAGTCTGAAATTCAGGTTCAAATCCTACCTATTCAGTTGATAGGCCGTACGTAACCTTGGGCAAATTGTTTCACCTCTCTGTGACTCTGTTGTGTTGCTAATTTTAGAATTGGGGATATAATGCTTTAGTTCTAGCGTTAGTGTGGGGATTAACACCTGCTGATGTGTATGAACTACTTCCTGAGTGTCAGGGCAAGGCTAGCTGTGTCCCATGCATTGGGTCAATTCATAATGAATCCTCCCCAAACCCTATGAGTCAGATTATGGTGATGCGGTGTTAGTGATGAGAAATCAAGTTCAGCCACGTTGTGTAACTGCAGTCTGTCTGACCCCAGAGCCCGATGTCTGAGCCATTGCTCTCTATTGCCTCCTGTTAAACTCAGTGTGAAGGAGCCACGTCTGCAGGCACCTGTCCCGTGTCTATCCAGAGACGATGCTCGAATGAAGCTGGCTGCTCTTTCTGCCCTTCCCAGCTGTGCCCCATCCTGGCTGTGGTCATGTCCTCCCAGCGTGAAGCTGGGGGCCTGGTGCTTCCTCCTCAAGTGGTTTGCTGATGGCTGGTGTCCCCTCAGGCAGAAACAGTCCCCAGCAGCTGTGGCCGTTAGCAGAAATGGCCAGAGGCCCTGTGCAGGGCAGGCCCAGAGACTCACTTGTCTAGCGAGAGGGCCCACTGTATGCCGGGCCTGGCGCTCAGCACTGGGAACAGCAGGGGACCAGAGCAGGCGTCAGCCACCCTCAGTCGCACCGTGAACAGAGACATCACCCGGGCATTTGGAGAACGAGTGTGGAGGTGTGAGAGGAGCACCAGTGTGCACTTGTTAACTGGGGGGAGGACCACCTGACTTTTCCTCTGCGAGAACTGCCTGGACCCCGTCATCACAGTGACCTGAAGCACAGCAGCGAAAATTCTGCCCCTAGAGCAGGGCTGTTTTCAGTCTGGGTGGTAAAAAAATTAACCTAAAGCCTTGTTTTCTGCTGCGAGCAGCCAGCCCCCAAAGCAGGGAGAGAAACAAGCGGTTGACCTTCAGCAGAGCCAGTGCAGCACGGAGGACAGGGAGCGCAGCCCGGAGCGGCTCACGGCAGACCAAATGTCAGGGAAAGGGGTGGGCGTTACTGGCAGCGGAAGCTTTTGGGGGAAGAGTAGGACCGATGGCCTGCGTTACACTCCTGATTCTGGCCCAGGCTCTACATTCTTCTTTTCTCTTTCTCTAATTTATCCACCGTGCCTGGCAGATTAGTCAGTTGGGTGGGAAATTGCATGGACAACGTACTGTAGATTAACCCCACATGCGCTCAAGTGTGCACACACACGTGCAGAGGCTGCAGCCACAGTAGCCGGGGGAGCTGCAGGCAGAGCCCCTGGAAGAAAGGCCCCTGGAAGCCCCACGCTCAGGCTGGTCCCCTCTCTGCTGACTTTCTGTCTTCTCCCTTCTGTCTGGCAGCCCTGGTTGTTGGTCTTCGCCTAGAGGGCCATTTTGGTCTTGGTAAGGTCTCAGATCAGGACGAGGGGGAAGGAAAGGCCTGATCAGGTCCTTAATTCAGTTGTTTGCATTTGTTGTCAACCATCCTCTCCTGACTGAGTTTCCAGCTTCCTAAACCTACCAAACCAGCGGGTGATTGCCTAGGAAAGACCTTGTTTTCTGCTCTGCACCAGACCCTCTCTTCTTTCTTCCTCTCCTTCGTATCATCTATCTTATAAAAGATACATTTATCAAGCACATAGTATACACTTTATATAAACTTCACCTTCCCAGCCACTCTAGGTGGTTCCTATGATCGTCTCTGTTCTTACCTGAGAAAGTGTTGCCCAGAGACGGGAAGTGACTAACCTACGTTTGGGGCTAAAATGGCCACACGGGCCGACCGCGCCCTCTGGGTCTGGAGCTGCGCTGGTCACGTCTGCTCTTCCTTGCAGGAGACGCTGGGCAGAGTTGCTGAATCTGGGCTCCCAGCCCTGCTCCTACAGTGCCTCTACCTCTTCTTTGTCTTTCCTCTGGAAGAGGAGGAGCTTTTTGACAGTGATCTTCAAGTTCAGAGGATGTTTGTGCAGGTGAGTGAGAGGAGGGGCTGGACCTCCTTGGGCGAGACCACCCTTGGCTTCTGGGAGAGGCTTTCGTTTTTCTCAGCCTAGTTCCAAAGCTCATCTATTCTGCTAGAGGGCCCAGCTCACCGCTCTGCCCCACGCTCCGCAAATGCTGGGAATCCTGTGCATTTGGAAAATGGAGTTTCTTCTTCTCTCTCTACTCAGTGTATCCTGTATCAGTATTCCCTTGTTCTCTCCCAGAAAGGTGTGCTCCCCCTCCTCCGCTGGGCCCCGCCAGCTCCTTCTCCTCCAGTCTGTGTTCCTGGGTCCTGCTGGCCCTCCCCAGCATCTAGAACCTCCTGTCTCTGGCCCCTTCCTCTCTGAGAACAAGCATGCTAACTCACTTGCATAACTGTAGCCAGCGGTGTCTGAGTTCTTGCTGTGTACCCACCCTCATGCCATGGCCTCCCATCTGTCAACTCCATGAGCCCTTCCCTCCATTCCCAGATGTGCGTAGAGTATTGTCATCCTGATTCTATACAGACTAAGGTACGGTGAGTAACCATGAGGCCAGGGTCACAGAGGCAGTGCGTGAGGGGCTGGGGTTGGAACCCTGGGAATCTGGTTCCCAAGTCCACTCACAGTCAGGCTTTTAACCACTCTGTGATGTCACCTCCTTCCCTCTGCTCAGAAGCCATCAAATGCCATTTCCTTTTGTCATTCCCCATCTTTCTCGTCCTCTCTAACTCCCAGCAGAGGCTTTTCACGTAACATCTCACCTCCTCCCCTGTCCCCTTCTTGACAGTTTCTGCTTTCTCAGCTTCTGGGATGCTGCATTCTCCAGAAAACTTCTCCTGCCTCTCTCTGACCTTGGTGGGCGGAGGGAGGGTGAGGAGGACTGAGTGTGTTACTCATCTTTGCGTGTCCAGTGCCTCGAGCAGCATCTCACACAGAGCAGGTACTTAGGACCACTTGGGAGTTTCCAAACGCGGCTGTCCATGAATGTGGGCATTCACATTCACATCCATTTTAGAGTAATTCTCAAGCCAGAAGCATTATTACCAGAGGGTATCTCACGAGTTCTGGTGGATTCCGCTTATGGTGGGTTATCCCCTAAGCTACATTTGTTGCAAACTTACGCATCATTTGCCCATATATAAATCATATTCTAAGTAGTGGCCAGGACACAGGACTGGGCACCTTAGCAAATCTTTACCGTGTGACTTTTACGTGCCCTGCAGGGAACTAGTGCAGCTGCGTTTTCACAGTCCTTTCCACGTATGGACAGAATGTGAGCCATGGTGATAGACCATGTCTACGTCCCTCAAGGGTTTTCCTTATTTCATTCAACAAAAATGTATGGAGCTCCTTCTGTGTGCGGCTCTATGCCAGACTGAAGGTTCCCACATAGTACCCTCACTTGTGAAGGTGACAGACGTGGGGAAGCCAAACGGGGGAAACAATCACATGAATAAATGAGCAGTGCCCAATTCTTTAAGTGCTATGAACGAAAAGTCAAAAGTGTGCTGGGAAGTGAGGACAAGGGGACCTGATTTACAGTAGAGAATAAAGGGAGGCTGTTCTGAGGAAATGGCATTGCACCAGGAGCTGAAGTTGGGGGTGGAGGTGCAAAGGGAGAAAGATGGGCGAGGAGCAGAAATGGTGGTCCAAACTGAGGGTCACATGGCCACACCCCCCTGCAGGGGAGGCCAGGAAATGGGATCTGTGGCCCAGCTCCATGGCTGCCCGGCGTAGACTCGATCACTGTGCTAGAAGGGGCTAACGGATCCAGATGGAAGGAGCTTTCCATATTTGCCGACCTGGAAGAAGGTCCAGTTAGACTACCGAGAACCAAACAGAGAGCGCATGCGATCACGTGAGAGACGAGCCAGGGCTAGTCCATGCAGAACTCTGTGAGCCACACTAGGGCATCCGGTTTTCATCCCAAGTGGGTAAGAAGGTATTGGAAGTTCCTCTGGTAGACACAGGGAGACGGGATTGTCAGGGACAACGGCCCCAGTTAGCAGGATGGCACTCATGGTGTTACGGGGAAGTAGAGTTTGAGTGCCAACCAGGGACTCAGGAACACATCTCTCTTTTTGGGTGGTACTGGGTTCTGTTAATTCTGTACTTTAATTGTTGATGGCATTTTTTTGTATTTCTAAGTAAAAAGACACTTGTCTTAATCACTTCTTTGTTACTGTGGAAAGGATAACAACTGCTTACATAGGATTATGAGCTCACACTTTAGTCCCAAGCCCTGTCACCCTTTTCCAGGTGGCACCGGTGACTGTGCTGGTCTGGGGCAGAGGGCAGCCACACACAACCCCATCCTTCGCACTGAGACGTGCCCATCAGCGCTCTGGAAAACAAATCCATCACAGGAAGGACACTTCCAACCAGAGTCTTCTGGGTTTTTTTTCCCCAGATGTTGCTCAACATTTGCAGCGAGTCTCAGGGGCTGGAGGGACTTCTCTTGGGAAATGAGCTCCAGTCTCTCGTGATCGCCACGACCTGTCTTCGGGAGCACACCTGCCGCATTTGGAAGGAGCCCACCTTCTGCGTGCTGAGGGCAATCTCCAGGGCCCAGAACCTCAGCACCATCCAGTACCTGCAGGGTATGACCCCAGGACCAGGAGTGGGCTGTGGGCCCCCTTTCTACAACGGGACCCTGGGAGGCTCTTGTAGCATCAGCATAAATTTCTGGGACCAAAAAAGAGATCAACAAATGGGATTTTCACTGATGCCCAGCTACGCCCAGATGGCCCTACATTGCTTGGGTCCATTCATGAAAATGCTTTTATTGTTCATTTTGATGCTTCTTTGGAGGAGGGAGGGAAAGGGGAACTCATTTACTGCACACACACTGTCAAACAGACACTGTGCTGGGTCCATTTGTGTGTTATCTCTGTGTTTCTTTGAGATGGATATTAATGCCAGTTTGCAACAAAGAAAAGAGAACCTGAGTGGTGGAAGAATTTGCCAAGGCCCCCAAGTAGCGAAGAAGAGAATCAAGTTTCAAACCTGGAGATGCCCGATTCTAGTGCCTTAGGTTCTGCTCTGGGCATCATGTGTGGGGGTTAAGGCCACAGACTCTGGAACCAGATAGCCAGGCTGTGGACTCCAGCTCTGCCCTCGTAGCTGAGTGAGCCCAGACAATTAACAGCCTGGGTGCCTTGGTTCTTTTGTCTGTAAAATGGGGATTATAATCCCACTGATCTCATTGGATTGCTGTGACGCTTCAATGAGTTGATGTATTTGAAGTGCTCAGATAGCACCTGGCACACAGGGGATGCCCCATAGGTGTCAGCGTCACAGCATCATTACTTGGGTGTGGTCAAAGGCGAGACACTGAGGGAACCAATTCCGTTAGCAGTACCGGGGGCCTCGCTGAGCATTGTCTGCCTCCCCAGGACCCAGATAAAGCTGGGAAGCATGGACATTTCTGTGGCTCACAGAATGTCAAGGAAATGTCTTGGCTTTCTCTCAGCTGCTGGCCCATCACAGGTAGGGAGGGCAGCTCTCCAAAGCTAACTCCAAGGGGAACATTGTGATGAAGGTTGGCCTGAGCTGACCTCCCCCCGACCCGTGCGACATTTTCGAAGCTCCACCAGCTGAAGTGCCTCTTGGGAGCACAACTGTCCATCCCTTGGGTTAACTCCACAGTGTGAGATGTTTTGGGGAGAGGTGGGGGTCTGAGCTGCCAGTGTGACCTGCTTGTCTACAAACACCTGTCCTGTGACCTGTCTTCTTTCTGGGGCCTCCTATAATAGGACATCAGCTGGTGAGAGCCGGGGAAGGTCCGCCAACCCACCCTCTTACTGTAACTGAGCTCTGGGAGGAAACAGCTCCAGTTTAGGGATTCAAACTCCCGGTGAGGCCAGGTCCTGGTGGGCAGTAATGGTCCACGGCTGAGCTGGGCCTGAAGTGCTCAGCAACCCGGGCACCCCCCCACCCCAACAGGCTAGAGTCAGAGACCCCTGAGAGAAGGCTGCATGCCTTAGTGGTGGGGGTCTCTCACTGTGGTCGTTATTCTCAGCTGCCCAAGAGGACAACTGGGAAAGAAAAATTCTACCTCACTGTGGAGGCTGCTGCCTGGGGCACTGTGCCCAGGACCCCCTTAGAGGAATGGGTAGTTTCCATGGTGTGTAAGGGGAGGAGAAGGTCAGGAAGTTAGGGCTGGCCTGGTGGTTACCTGCCAAGCCACAGCTCTTGGGGCCGCCCTGCCCAACATGCAGACTTTGGGGCGCTTTCAAAGCCTCGCAGCGGAGTACTGAGCGTGCGTTATTTCAAGTTCTGGTAGGCACTTTTCCTGGTCCACTGATCTGGCTTTCCTGGCACTCAGAAGAGGCTTCTCCCAATGAAAGAGCCCTAAAAACAGAGATCCCTCAAAATGCAAATCCAATAACATCTCTCTCCTGACTCCCATCTTCCCTGGCATCTCACGGCTCTGGGGTCACCAGCAAGCTCCACAGCCGGGCCCTGCAGGAGCCGGCACTGCCTCCCTCCCCCTTCCTCGTGGCCCACGCTTCTGTGCTCCAAACCCCCGATTCTTTAGTAGCTGAAACTCACCACGTTTTTGCCCCTCACCTTCTCACACACTCGTATTCCCTTCCCTGCATTTTTTCATCAGGCTAATTTCTGTTCGGCTCCAGCACTGCTTCCTCATGGAGGCCTCGGGTCTTGTGTCTTGCGTCTTGTTACCTATGGACCTGGACCCTCCCGCCTGCTGGGAATCAGGAGTGAAGGGCTAACTGGCTTCTTCCCATTTTGCTTGCTCTCCATCTGGGCCTGCAGGGCATGGCAACTAGGGTGGCACTTCCCATGGGGGAGCCTTCTTCTTGATCCAAGAGGCAGCAGAAAAATGTGCTAGACCAGTTCTCATTCATGTCTTGATACACAGTTTAAAAGTGGGTGGGGAGGTAATGATCGTGGCAGAAAAGCTATCACCTCTGAACTCAACAGGGGCGTGTTTTCCTCCTGCAGCCATGGACTGTGTCAAGATCTCCCTCCAGAACCTCTCCAGGCTTGCAGACACCCTCCCCGCCCCCGAGGTGAGCGAGGCTGTGAGCCTCGTCTTGGGCTTTGTGAAGGACTCCTACCCGCTCTCCTCGGCTCTGCTCCTGGAGTTTGAGAATGGGGAGGGCTACCCTCTGCTACTCAAAGTGTTACTTCGGTAAGTGGCTGTGCATGGTCGGGGAGAAAATGTCAAAGCCTAGGTCCTCAGAATCACTTGGGGTGCTTTGGGATGGATATTGAGTCTTCTCAGAATGTCTTCTGAAACACAAATCTCCATAGAGCATGACCAGAGAGACCTTTACTGCAAAAGTAATTCAACGTGCAGCTGGGTTTGGGAACCACTTCCTTTGAGAACCACTGGGCGATAATAGTTTTCCCAAGTCCATTGGGTGGTACGTACCCCATGCACGCCTACCGGCCTGACAGCTACCTGTCAGAACCCGCACCTCTGTGTTGGAGGGCTCTCTGTGACTGCTGTAAGCGGCCCTGCCTGTTGCTTGGGAGCTGATAGTGCTGAAGAATCAACAACCCCCAGGAGCAGCCCTTGGCCAATGACTGGCAGGAGCTGATGGATAAATACCCAGCAAAGTTGCCCCTTGGGCGGGATAGCTCTCCCCTACCTCCCAGAGTCCCCGGAAGGATTGAACTCCAGTCACCCCATGAGACACTTGCTCGACAATGCTCTCGTACTGGCTTCCTTCCCTTCCCTCTCAGGGGGCCTCTCCCCCACTGGTATTTTTGGGATCAACTCCCGAATAAACTACTCTCTCTCAAATCCCTGTCCCATGGGAAACCCAAACAAAGATACCGTGCAGCTGGCTCTGGACTAATTTTCTCCACTCTGATGCCATGTCATCTTCAAGTTGGGCCTACAGATTGGATAAACCAAGTGACGGAAATCAAAGAAATTCCCTGATGGTCAAAACTCTTCCACTGATCTTAGGGAAGCTGCTTAAGGGCAAGGCCATCTATTTCTTTGGGCTTTGCTCTGTGAATATGAGAAGCACTTCTCCTCTATGGGGTGTAGCTTACCACTGTGCTTCGTGGACTTCACTACGGATAAGGCTTCCAGTCTAGAGGGGGTGACTTGGATGAGGGGGCTGAAGTCTCTCAGTCCAGAGTCTCCAAAAGGATGTGATTAAATGACAACACTCTGAGGGCCTTCCTCCAATGGGACACTAAGAATATATGTCCCTATGGGGATGCCACCTTTTACATTAGTCTGGACCATGACCAACTGGCTACTGCTACCCCAGAGGTCTGTGTCATAGTAGTTCCTGAACATTCCTTTGGTTAAACGACTGGTTGGTTTTCCCCAGAATTCCTGTGGAAGGCAGGAGGAGGAGATGAGACTGTTCCAGGAAGTGTCAGGAAGGACCCATCTCAGCTTGTTGGTTTTCCTTTTTGCCTGAACTGAAGTCTTTATGCTGGCACTTTTACTCTTGACATGGCAGAGCTGGGGTAAGACCTGAGAGACCCTCCTCCATCAGAAGAGCAAGGAACACACCTACATATAAGGAGCTAAAACGAAAAGCAATACTCAACCTTGAGATAAGCATAAGGAAGTCTAATAAAGACCGATTATTTCCCACAATGTTTATCTTGTTGCTCTTTTGAAATATTAAATCTCTCATTTTGGAGGTGCCTCTGGTCTGCTGGTGCCCAAAGCACATGTCTTTTGGGGGGTCCAGCTGTGGAAGCTGGCCTTCCTGTGAGCGGATGCTGTAGCTCTGCACAGGTTGCCCTGTATTCTGATTGCACATCCTTACATCTAAGGCTGACAGTGGCAAACAGAGTGACTTTTATCCAGGACACTCCCCTTGCCTTTTGGTGCTGGGTTGGTGGAGGCCTCCCGGGTCTTCCTCAGCACTGTGATCTGCATTACCTCTGCATCCCTGTAAGGAGCACCATGAGCAAATGTGGCTGTTCTGTCCAAGAAGTCCAGGGAGCTGGCCTCATCTGTCCCCACAGGTATGACGGGCTGACCCAGAACGAAGTGGACCCCCACCTGGAGGAGCTCATCGGGCTGGTGGTGTGGCTGACAAGCTGTGGGAGGTCAGAGCTGAAGGTGTTTGATAGCGTCACTTACCCTCAGCTGGAAGGCTTCAAGTTCCATCACGAGTCTTCTGGTGGGTCATCTGTGTCTCCTGGTGCCAGGCAGCTGTCGGCACTGTGCAGGCCCTTCCCTGATTCTTTGTGCAGAAACAAACACTTGGCACCTGTCAGTGAAACAGTAGGGTCTGATTCTGTCATGCCTTTGGGGAGATTACCTATGGGATCTAAAATCTCTCCTTTACAGATTTTTCCAGATGTCTTGGGTGGGACTTAGAGGAAATATTTTCTTGCTAAAGATGGAGCCTCTTATCTCCACCCCCCACGTCTGGTGTGACTGACTTTGTAACATTTGCTTATATAACAGGGACTGATGGCCCTGAAACAGCCACCCAGATTCAGAGTCAATGCCTCCTTAGTTCTTTGAGATATTAATTGATTGATTGATTGATCCACTCAATCAACACGCACTGATGCTTTCTGTGCAGCAGCCACTCTGCCCCGTGCTGGGCACCAACTTGAAAAGGCCAGGTGTCTGCTCCCTAAAAATTCTCTGTAGAGACCATCACACATACACTGAACCATAAACTGCTCAATAACTGGCTGATAAACAGGCACAGCGGTGACACCAGGCGAGAGGATGAGCTCTGTCAGGAAACCCTACACAGAGGGCCCCATTCAGGTGAGGTTTCAAGGCTAAGTGTGGGTTGTCCAGGTAGAAAGGAAGAGGAAAAAATTTAAAGCCAGAAAGTGCAACCTGGGGAAAGAAATGGTGACCAGGCACATCTGGGTGCGTCTGGGAAAAAGGGCACTGAGACCTGTGCAGACCAGAGGGCAGAGGCTGCAGAGCTGTGGGGCCAGTTTAGGAAGAGCCATTGGATGTGACTCCAGCAGACACAGGGGAGCGTCTGGATGAGAGAGGAGCTTCATGACTGTCTCTGCTGTCCAAGGTAGAGAGGGCTAGAGACAGGGAGTTCTCTGATGAAGTGAGTAAGGCTTAACCTTCCAGCCGGAGAGATAGGATGGGGTGGCTTCGGAAGGTGTCTGTATTTAACAGCTTGTCTAGAAATGCAACTGACTTTGCTTAGTAATCTTGAACATCATTTGATTTTAATTGATTGAAACAAATCCTCCAGCCTAGCGCTGCCCACTGGAAATATAATCCGAGCCACACTACATAATTTTAAATGCTCTAGTAAGCGTATTTAAAAAATTAAGAAGAGGCAGATTAAATTATTTTTAGTAATATATTTTAGTTAACCCAATATATCCAAAATATTACCATCTCAACATGTGGTCCTACAAAAAACTGTTCATGACATTTTTTTACATTCTTTTCTTTGTGTTACATCTTGGAAATCTGGTGTGTATTTTTACATTCATGGAACATCTCATGTCAGAGTAGTCACATTTCGAATGCTCCATTAGCCACCATGTCTTGGACAATGCAGCTCTAGCTTACTCACACCGTGGGCAGCTGGCCCTTCTGGACTTCTGATAGACATTTACCCACCAGAGGTAGAAAATAGAAACTTTTGTGGCCAGCCTGGTGGCGCAAGTGGTTAAGTGCATAAGCTCTGCTGTGGCGGCCCAGGGTTCGCCGGTTCGGATCCCGGGCACGCACAGAGGCACCGCTTGGCAAGCCGTGCTGTGGCGGCGTCCCATATAGAGTGGAGGAAGATGGACATGGATGTTAGCCCAGGGCCAGTCTTCCTCAGCAAAAAGAGGAGGATTGGCAGATATTAGTTCAGGGCCGATCTTCCTCACACACACAAAAAAAGAAAATAGAAACTTCCAATGATATTTCCTAACGATAATGCCAGCATGTATTTCTAGGCATAAACAGGAGAAATGACTTGCAGGATTATTCCTTTTTACATCTTCAGGGGTGACTGTGAAGAATCTTCAGGCCTTCCAAGTCCTGCAGAATGTTTTCCACAAAGCCAGTGATGCCGTCCTTTGCATGAAAGTCCTGTCGGCCATCAGAACCATGTGGACCTGGAATGCTCGCAACTTCTTCCTGCTGGAGTGGACGCTGCAGCCCATCTCGCAGTTTGTGGAGATTGTGCCACTCAAGCCAGCCCCGGTGCAGAGGCACTTCTTCCAGCTGCTGGAGGCCCTGGTGTTCGAGCTGCATTACGTGCCCCATGAGATCCTACGAAAGGTGCAGTGCCTGATCAAGGAGAGCCCCGAGCCACCGTGTACCCTTGTGGCTCTGCAGAGTGTCCTCAGAATTGCCGGCGTGGACCCACTCTTCACCGACATCTTCCGGGACTCGGGGCTCCTGGGCCTGCTGCTGGCCCAGCTGCGGAAGAGGGCCAAGATCCTGAGGAAGTCAGGTGCTGTCCAGGAGTGCCGGGAGTGGGGAAGGGAGCAGGCTGGGGGTCAGTGTTAACTGGGCCTAGTCTGCATGCCTGCCCATCACCCATCAACATATCAGAGAAAGTGAGCGTGCCCATGTTGCCGGTGCCATGAAAGTCAGAGAGGGTGCCCCCAGGGGCACATGGCATCACAGAGCAGGCAGCCTCCCTATTTTCTGTCACTGGCCTGATCTTCCCCATGAAGAGGTGAGAGGGGTGGGTGTAACTTTAAACAGCCTCATGGGGCTAACTCAGGCCCAATGAATCCTCAGCTGTCAGATATCTCCTGCACTAGATATTGTCTGAGTATGTAGATGGGGAGACAGCAGGGGGAAGCACAGGTCCTCAGTCATGCAGAAGGGAAAGGGTGCTCAGAGAGGCCTGGGGCTCCAGGGAGCAGGAATCCCGGCTCTGATACTTATGAGCTGAGTGGTCCTGAGCAAGTTACTTAACCTTTATGAGCCTCTTTCCTCCTCTGTTAAATGGGTGTAATAATATCTACATCATAGGGATGCTGTGAGGATTAAATGTGGGCATATCTGAACAGGACCCATGGCTACACCTGGTACATAGTAGGTACTCAGGAAATGTTAGTCATCTTATCCCTATGGGCTCTGTACTACTGCATGGAAGACAGAGATGACACTCATGGAGGAGCTCATGTGCCTTCAGGAGGCCAGGAAGGACCCATGCCTCCCTGGGAGTGTTTGCAAACAGGCTGAGGACTGAGGATGAGGAGCTCCCATCTTTGCGTGTCTGGGCCTCTGGCCCAGGCTTTGGGGAGGATCTTGTTTTGTGCTTCCTCCTATCACCCTTTGAACAGTCCTTCGTTTAATGTTTCTGTATTATCTTAGCTGTGTATAGCTTTTCAGCAGCCTGACATTGAATTTGCTTTTAAACCCAATCCTAGACCTATGATTATTCCTAGGAGAATTTGACCTGTTTTGTGAGCTGACGTATCCAGTCTTACTTTGTGCTTTCTATTGTTAAATGTCTCCTGGTGAATAAACTCTACTTTTAGTCAGTCATTCATTCTCCAAATATATATTGAGCTTCCCGTCTGTGTCAGACACTTTTCCGGCACTGGGATTCATTGGTGAACACACAGGCCTGGTTTGCCCTTGTGGATCTGATGGAGACGTCTATCTACACTAGAATCTCTCAAGCATCTCCATGCCTCGGGCATGAGCTGGCAGTTCTCCCTCCCAGACATGAATGGAAAACTATAGTGTCCAAAGGAAAGTCAAGAAGGCGGGGCTTTGGACTTTGCGTGTAGAGTAGCAGTTCTAAAGAGTGGTCTTCAGATCAGCCCCCCCAGCACCACCTGGGAACTTGTTAGAAGTGCAAATGATAGCACCCCACCCAAGACCCCCTAAGTCCCTAGGGATGGGGCCCGGCTTCTGGATGTTTACAACAAGCCTTCCAGGGGATTTTCATGCCCTCGATTTGGAGAACCACTGCTATAAGGGCTGGTAGGGTTGCCTCTTATGAATTGGGATGCATACTCCCTTATAATGGAAGCATTATATTCACATTTACTTAAGAGGATAGAAAACTAAGAGAATCAGAGATTTTGGGTTATACCAAGTGTACTTAAAAATTTTTTTCATTGCTCTTTAAATATGGCAGGAAATAAGGAGTCCAATCCTGGAGTTCAGGATCCGGAAAGAGAACTGACCTGTGTGATGCTGAGAACCGTGGTCACGCTTCTGAAAGGCTCAGTGAGGAATGCAGGTAAGGACGGTATCAAATTCACCTTGTCACTGCTTGGTAAAACGTTAACTGTTTCCTGATGATTTGTATCAGTGTTCAAAGATTGTGTCCAAGGAATAACCAGCACCAACACTGCAGCTAATGTCCATTTGCTGGTTGATGTCCAGTGACCATCAGTAAATTAGTAGACACCTCAGTTGACATGTTTTACTTTTAAGGTTGCTAAATAAAAATGAGAATCAAAGAGATATCCTAAATTGGTGAGACCACAGAGCCCTCCTACGAGTAAAATCTATTTATATCCTGCTGTACAAACTCTAGATGCTTTCTTTAAAGATCTAATTTCTAAAATACAGGCAAAAAAATGTAGCCATTTTTAAGAGACATAATTCGATGTGCTTCCAGCCTGTGATGGATTTAGTACCTCCATCCATTCAAAAAATTTTTAGGTTCCTAAGATCATGTGGCTTCCACATTTAAAAAAATATGTGTATAAAATATATATGCATGTATATTATACTATGAAGCAGATGCATCAACAGAGTGACATCAGTGGGTTTGGTGATTTGGGACATCTTTATTTGAGGCCCTCACAGATCAACTATAGCAAATGTGCATGATTATTTCGTTATGGCAGAGGGTCTCTGATGTTCGACCATAAAAGTTCCCTGGAGGTGCTGGTTTATGGAGGTGCATATTCCCAGGATCACTTCCAGAGGTTAATTAGTATCAAGTCAAGGTACAGCTCAGGAATCTACTTTTAAACAGGCCTCCAAGGTGATTTCCATGTAGAGGGTACCTGGTCCATGATTGGAGAAATCCCGCCTTGTGGAGCTGACCAGCTCAAATCCACATCACGCCATTTAAACGACACAGTTACCTCCTAGCTCTTATTCCACACCTGATTATTCCAAACAGCAATCCTGGGAAAGAAATTCTTAGGATTACTTTTCAACAAAAATATACCACCAGCCAAATTTCTTTAATCCTCCCCTCCCTGCTCCAAGAAACTACCTAGGAATTAAATATGTTCTTAACTTAAATTCTGGTTTGCTTTCAGTAAGAATTTTGGCAGAGAGAATTGCTATTGGCCCTGGATTAGGGAATTATGTGGAAATCCAGGGCAGAGGTTTATCTAGCTAAAGTTTGTATTACTTAGGTTTCTAAAAAATAGGAAATTTTTTTTTATAAAACAGAATTCTCCCTGGAGAAGAAAGTAGTTTTTCTTCTTAATTCTCAGCGCCGCAGTTTCTCTTTTCTTCTTCTCATTTTAACAGTGTGGATTTTGAAAAAAGTTTCTAATGGGCAGATGAGACACATACAAATGCAGCAAAACAAACTTAGAAATTGTAAAGAAAAGCTTTCCTTGAAATTGAAACTAAGGTGCTAAGGCTCCCACTGTTCTAGCCCCACACTGTCTGTCTGGCCCCCAGTTGTCCTGAAAGACCACGGCATGGTGCCCTTCATCAAGATCTTCCTGGACGACGAGTGGTACCGGGGAGCCTCCCTCAGCATCTTGGAGCAGCTGTCAGTCATCAACGCTGAGGAGTACATGAGCATCATCGTGGGCGCCCTGTGCTCATCCACTCAAGGAGAACTGCAGCTGAAGCTGGATCTCCTGAAGGTGATGTCAAGTCCTCCTTTGTGCCAGGCTTTCCCAGGGACATGAGGCAGGTGGTCGACGTTTGCCCATGCACGCATTCATTCTCTCAGTTGGTCACCGTATTATACAGCTCGGGTAGGACTAGCTGCTACAACAGATAAATCCCACAGCCTCAGTAGCCTGACACATTGGAAGTTTCTTTCTTATGTACAGTCCAATCACTGATTGCAGGCAGGTGTCATTCAGGGACAGCTGTCACCTGGGCATCTAATCCAGCCAGCAGGCAAAGGAAGGGAGGGCATGGAGAGTTGCACAAGGCATTCTCGTCCAGGCCCAGAGCTGGCACACGTTAACATCTGTCCTATTTTCTTTGGGCAGAACTTTGGGCAGGATTCATTTGGATGCAAGGAGTACCAGGAAATGTGCTCCCTGGCTGGGCAGCTACTTCCCAGCGGCACTATAAACTGTGGAAGTGGAGCCTGAATCCCTGGTGGCCAAGCAGCTGCCTCCTTTACTTGACCAGCATTTAGTGAGCGTCTAGCCGTTACCAGGCCTGATGCAGGGTGCCTGGGACACACAGTTGAGTGAGACACAGCCCTTGCCATCTGGGAGCTCTAGACCAGGGCTCATGATACGTAAGTGATAAGTGCAGTGCCGCTTTTTGGGGATGCCCTGGTGCACGCCGAGTGCAGGCTGCCTCAGGAACAGAGATGTAGGCGAGCCCAACACCGCCTTATGTGCTGAGGAAGGCGGGCAGAGGAGAGAATGTTCGAGCTGGGAAAAGGAAGCAAAGGCAGTCAAAGGCACGAGAACAGTGGGTACAAAGGAAGAAGTAAAACTGGGGTGTCACCTTTGGGCAACAAAGAGGAGTATATATTTTTGTTTTTGTAATATTGTTAATAATCATCAAATTATCTTAAAACAGTTAAAGATGATGATCAATATCATTACCACTATCCCTTCTGCCTTACAGCTTTCACAATTTTGTTGCTGTTCCTGTTTTCCATTCCGTTGGTCTTTGTGGTCTTATGCCTTTTAAAAAATCCCCTTTCTTTTGTTATTTGCTGTTTAAGAGAAGAGCAGAGGGAAATGCAAATACCCCCCAGGGAGGTGACTTGGGGACTTCTCAGGTACATGTGCAGCAAACCACATATAAAACACACTCATCCTTCATTACCATTCCATACTTGGTCATTGGTGAATTTTTAAAAAATACAAAGTTGCTCTGATTTCTGAAATTAAACCATTCACTTTACTCAGCCATGACTATCTCTGTACAAAACCATTTTAAAACATTTAGAGAATGGGGTTTTGTTTGTCTTACCTACCTCGTCTCTCTATGGAGCCAGTGTCAGACACTGATGTCACTGTGCTCCTATCATCACACGGCCACAGCATCGTGAGAAGCCCACACAAAAGTGATGTCATGGCCATGGTTATCACGTGTGTGACAGATGACAAGAAACGAAACTGTGACTTAATTACAGGGCCAAAAAGACCAGTGAAGGTGATTTACATGAAACAAAAAAGGCAAGTTCCATGTCTTTGAAAGACGCTAGAGTCCCATGATTATGTGAGGTAAAGGGATTGAGGGGGCATGTGAAGGAGAAAGTAAGGGGGAGAGAGATCAAGAATTAGTGACAATTTATAGCTGGGAAGGGCCTTAGCTTCATGTGGTCAGGTCTTAATGTTCCAGTAGGGCCCTGTCCAGAGAGCGTCTAATGTGAAATGATGGAGTTGAGTTTGAATCTGAGACTTGTGACTTAAAATCTAGAGATCTTTGCTCTTCACCGTACTGTTTGTTGCATTTTTTCTCATATGTCTGTGTTCGGCTTGAGTCACATGAGCCTTATTCTGATAGGAACAGAGAAGGCATGACCTAGAAGTCAGGACTTCGGTTTTCTGTTGGGTGAATAATCAGAATCCCCATCTGTTTCTGACATTTTCTTTTCTATCTCTTTTTTTTTACACGTCATTTTTTTTTTTTTTTTGGTGAGGAAGATCAGGCCTGAGCTAACATTCATGCTAATCCTCCTCTTTTTGCTGAGGAAGACCGGCTCTGAGCTAACATCTATTGTCAATCCTCCTCCTTTTATTTCCCGTTTTTTTTCCCCCAAAGCCCCAGTAGATAGTTGTATGTCATAGTTGCACATCCTTCTAGTTGCTGTATGTGGGACGCGGCCTCAGCATGGCCGGAGAAGCCGTGCCTCAGTGCGCGCCCGGGATCCGAACCCGGGTTGCCAGTAGCAGAGCGCGCGCACTTAACCGCTAAGCCACCGGGCCGGCCCTGACATTTTCATATTGAAAGTCAAACAGATCCACAGAAAGGAAAGCTTTGGTTTTGCTTTGCTTGGAGAGCACAAGTGTTTCTGTGTCCAATATAGAAAAGCGTGCTCTGCTTTGCTCATGGAAAGTTCATCTCGTTTTCTCTATAGCCCAGAGACACCTTATTGGAGTGTCAGCCCTTGGGTAATAGGACTGGATTTCTAGAATTAGCGATGTAAAGCCATTATGATGTTTTACAGATTCAATATCATTTCAGAATCACACTATCAAGAGAGCACGTCAGGGATTAACACTGTGTGAGCTTATTTAACAAAGTCACACCCGGCATTCAATGTGCTGTCTTCTCCCTGGGTGCCAAGTCACTGTTGGGCAGTCAGGAGGGCGCCCGAGCCGCCATTGGTCTCTCAGGACCAGGGCTGTTAGCATGTTGCTGCTCCAGTGGGCAGTGGGGAGGGATGGGCCCAAGAGCCCGTTCCAGACTCACTCACCTCTGAGTCATGTCGGCAGCTAGTGAACGTTTCCTGGAATCTGATGTGCGATCTGCATTTGTTCTAAAACAGCTTGGGAACCTCTTAGAACTTTAGAAGCAAAGATGTAAAATGAGCTCTTTCTGACTGGATTTCACTTCTTAGAGTTTGAGAGCAGACTCTGCCCAAAGCACCGTGTCTGCAAAGATGTAGGGTGAGGAGGACGATGTAAGATGAGGGGGAAGAGCTGGAGTGGGGGGACCTCGAAGGCAGGGCCTCCTGCTCCCCGCAACGAAAGTTTGCCATCTCTGACTTGGGTTTACATCCCGGCGGCCCTGAGGCAGAATCATCCAGCTGCTCTAGAGGAGGAAATTCCTCCAGACACACCCAATTTAGGGCAGTTGTTTCCAGAATTCAGTGGTGCTTCCGTACCAATAGAGAAGCACATGCGCCTTCACCACCTAATTCTAGCAAATGGTAACCAAGTCAAAGAATAATGTAAGCAAATGAATTTCCCCTCCACGGCCAGGGGGACTGTGATTGGGTTATGCACAAATTCAGATTGATTTGCTAATATACATTTAGCTGTTCAACTCTGAGCTTAATCTCATTACCTCACCGGTCTTCCAGCATGACACATGGAAAATTATGAGGAATAACAAATAATAGAATGTGAAATAAATCCTGTTAGTCCTAACATAGTTAGCGCTTTGCAGCAGACATCCATTTTATAGATTCAAGCTGGAGGAATACTAACTCAGAGACGATGACATGGTAACTGAGTTAAGGAGGAGAAAATGTGCTTAACGCTGACCTTTCTTGAAATGTGTCACCCCTAGTCTGATTACTTTGACTTCAGCTGATTAAATTTACTCCCATCCGAAGACTCGCCAGCCCCGGTGATGCATTATCAGGCAAACTTGAATGACAGTAATGGAGACCCTCCTCCTAGGCCCCCAGTTCCTGACAAATCGTTTCCCAAAGTAGCGCAGTATTTATTTTCCTTTATGATAGAAATGTTTCTCTTTAGTTGCTATGAAATTAAGCCTTTGTAATTGGATTTTGGACTCTTTACTTTATGACTCTGCAAATATGAAATTAACCCCATCCCAAGAAATAATAGAGCAGTCTAAGTTCTAATGAGATTACCCCCATTTTAGATAATGACTTTGAATTTAATAAATCAAACAAAGCAACAATTAAGCACAGCCTTTCTTTCCTCCTCCCCCCTCCCCACAGGAGGAGAAAAGAGCCATCTAGGAATTACAGGGGACAGACACTCTGAGAGGCACAGATCTTAACGAGGACTATTATTGGGTTGCTTCTCTCTTTAAAATATCTCCTCTCAACACTCTTGGAATGATGGAGTCCTTTTGAGCAATATCAGCTGTCAAACTGGACAGTTGGAAGGTGGTTTCTTGAGAGAAGAGAGATTTTAGTGGTCATCCAGCGCTCAACTGGATGATTGCCTATAATCTGATTAGTTTTATTTTTTAATCATTCTCCCTTTTTGGTATTTGTTTTGTCACGTGTCATGTGATAAACAGAAGAGCTTCATTTATTCAGTCTGCCTTAAACAACCTCCTAGTGGTTTTAGAAGCCATGGAAAGAACTCACATAAATTTAGACGGTTTAACGTCCTAGAGCTTAAGATTTCCTGATGTCTGGGTGATTTATCTATTTTTCATGGCACGAGTCACGTGACAAGGCATAAGTCAGGTTGAGACAATGCAAGGCATGCTGTACCATGCACAAGTGTTCAGCCTTTCCTGTGGATGATCAGTCAGCAGGAAGAGACTACCACCACCACACATACTGCAAGGCTGGAGTGCGTTTCCAACTTGGTCAAAGAGAGAATATTCTGTCAGGAAGGAGTTGCTCACACACACAAGGCAGGCACAGACATAGTCTGTGCACCCGTAGCCTCTGGTGGCCCCGGAGTCCTGGCGGGGGGAGGGGTAGGGACAGGCAGGTGCGGTGACGCTGTCTACACACGGAAAGGCCTTGCACAGTCAAGAAGGCTCAGGGTTGCTACGTCGTGAGCTTTCTCATTCACTGAGCATCACCATTCTAGACAACCTGCTGTGACCGTCTACATGCTTCCCTTTAAGAACCTGTCTGCAAATGTCAAACTTTCCTGGGTTTTGAGCCAAATTCAGGAGTAGGCCATATCCTCACCCAGGAAGAGAAAGCAGTTGTCCTCCCCAGTCCTTAATATGTCATATTTGTCTCCATCTTTCTGGCAGTATGGAAAGCCCATTTCCCTTAAGTCTATCCCACGACTCTGATTTGATCTCTGTTAGTGGATGGCCTGATGCTGGGTTTCTTTCAAAGCATGAAATGACAATTTAATTTCCCCACAGTTGTCCCCAAGCTGTGGTGAGTAAACATTGATCTAACCACCATAAGTCATGCATCTTCTTTTTCTGTAACCGGGAAAGGATCAATTGACCCATAGGGGTAGGGAAGACTTTTTCTACCTCACTCTATATTTTTATTTGTCCATTTTGAACATAATTGTGGACTTTGGCCTTTCATAGATTCTTCTAGTTACTACAATCTTTGTTTTACTTTTCAATTTCTCAAAATGTCATAGATGGGGCAGTGGGAGCCCTTTAAGCTGCCCCTTGGTCGTTATTTCTCTTCCTCTCTGAAAGAGTCCTGCCCGTGTGCGTTCACTCAGTTTTGCTCATTTTGTCTTCTTCTACCCCAAACATGAGATCTACTGCCCACCAAGCAGCTCAGGTTTCTTGTGGTAGAATATAATATCAGAGAACAAAATTAGGGTGTGAGGGACACACATGGTATTGTTTCAGAAAAACACTAGTGTTAGGTTAGAATTACCAGCATTGTAGAGATGGAGCTGGAAAATTACCTTTCCCCCCAAAAAGTGCATGACTTCATATTTAATAGTTAGCTGTAACTTTACTAAGTTTCAATTTGACTTTCTCTATATGAGAGGTTTTAAATTTAGTCCCTTCCCTCCTTTTTTTCCTGACCTTCCAGTTTTCTCTTTGTCCATTAACTTTCACACATCATACTATAGACGGTTATCCTAAACCATGCATTTAAGACGCAGCATCACCCCTCCCACCAACATTGGGAGTTTCTTTCTATTTTTTCTCTTTGAACCTTGTTTCAAGCATCCTGGAATTGACTCCAAGTTGGGCCTTCCCGGACAATTCCCTTCTGTACGTCACTAGGGCATTAAATATCTGAAAAGATGAAACAATTCAAACCTCACACCACAGCCTACTAATGAAACCACGAAGACTGGCCACTCTCTCAGAAGCATGCACAAGACGCCTGAGTCTTAGACGGAGTCCTGTGCAATTTTTGTGAATAATAAATAAGCAAATACCAAAACCAAGAGGCTTTTAATATTTATCTAAAATAGTCCATACATTCTTCACTTTTAGGTGTGAAGCTTTAGCACAGAATGAGAACTACTTAAATGCTTCTTTCCTTCCTTCCAAAACATTTTCTACATATCTAATGTTACCATGCACTGCAGTCAATGAATGGCACGTTGTAAGTGCTCAATAAATGTTTGGTTTTAGAAGGAAATAAAAGTGTGTCTGTCCAGTAAACACTCAGCTATCTGGAGAGGGGAGCTTCTAGTATGTATGTTATAAGCAGCCTAAACTCCACACATGATCTATTCTATATGCTATACTTATGTTTCCTTCCATTGAAGGTTTCTCTTCTCTACCTTGATTCCCTCATATTTTCACACCAGATTTTAAGTAGATTCCTTTTACTATCTTTCCTCATTTAATCCAAGTACCCATGTTTGCACAGACAGGGAGATTAATAATAATAAGCCGCTCTATATAGATTTCACTGTGAGTCTCCTTTGCAATAAGAGATGGTTCATTTCATTCATTTAGTGAATATTTATTAAGTGCGTGCTATGTTCTACAGCAGTGAGTAAGCCCAATTTCGTGGAGCTTCAGTCTAGTGGAGGGCTGAATTTTCAATTTTCAAGTAACTTCAATACAGTGTGAGGAGAGTTTTGTTCAGGGAATTAGAGGGGGCTGTGTGAGCACTCGCCCGGGGGTGAATAAAAGCTGGGGGTCAGAGAAAGCTTTCTGGAGGGACATGCATTTAAGTCAAGACCCAGGACAGTAAATCAACCCTGTAAATTAGCATAGGCTTTAAGATCAGGCATTTGAAACAAGGCACCAAGGGGCGACCTAAAACTAAAATGAAGAGGAGCAATATTGACCTCCCACTGTTTCAGAACCGGCCTTCGGGTAGCTCGCTGTTTCTATGAGCAGGGGAGAGCATGGAATGCTTTGGCAGGGCTGTGCGGGAGCTCAGCGTTAAAGATCTGCTCCTGGACTTGGCTCATTTTTATCTCATTGGTGTTTCAGTCTCTCCTCCGGATCCTGGAGACCCCCAAAGGCCGTGCTGCCTTCAGAGTGTCCAGTGGGTTCAATGGGCTGCTGTCCCTGCTCTCCGACCTGGAGGGGTCTCTCCAGGAGCCTCCGCTGCAGACATGGGGGGCAGTGTCCCCCAGCCAAACCCTGGACCTGGTCCTGCACACCCTCTGTGCCTTGTCTGCGGCTCTGCACCTGGACCCTGTCAATGGTGACTTCTTCAAGAGGAACGGGCTCTTTGAGAAGCTGGCTGAGGACCTCTGCTTTCTGGGCTGTTTTGGGGCCCCGGAGGAGGAGGAAGCCCCTCTGCACTCCTGGGCGGACACAAAGGCCAGGCCATTTACTGATTTGCTGAGTGCGGCCTTCTCCTCCACCAGCCCGTTCCCACCCGAGATACAGAGCTGCCTCCAGATCCTCAGCTTTCTGGACAGCATGGCCAGCGGCACCCTCCACCTACGCAGGGACCTGAAGGAGTCCCCGAGGGCCCGGAAGGACCCAGTTGTGGATGCCCGGAAGGGAGAAGCCGGCAGTGACCCCCAAGGCAACTTCAAGCAGTGGCCAGAGCTGGAGGAGAGGTAGAGCTTTGCTGTCTGCTTCCGCAATCGGGTCGTCAGTGCACCTCTGTCTCCCGTCTCCACCCACGTATCCTGTGCATGTGTAGTGGGTGGGAAGCCCAGAACACAAGCTGGGGGCACAAAAATGTCACATGATTTTCTTTTCTTTAAATCAAGTTAACTCTGACTCCAAGCTCCCCTACCCTGGGAGCTGGCAGAAAACCAATCTGAGTAATACAGGGTAGGGGGATGCTATTGGGTCATACAAGAACAGGGAGGCCCACCCGATCTGGGAAACCAAGGGCAGGACTCTGCCCGTAGGCTCACTTTCTCTTTTGGCATCTTTGCTGCTCCTGGGAACCTTGGTGCCTGTGCCCAGCCTCCCTGGTGTGAGGGCAGCCTTTGCCTTCCTAGGCGTTATCCTCTCCCCGCACCCTGCGCCGCCAGGCTGTGGGATGATGAGGTCCTTTGACTTATAGGTCACAAACCACAGTATCCTTCCCAATCGTGCTGACTCTTGTTCTTTCTTGCTACTTCCACTCCCCGAATTAAGGCAATTGCTCCTTTTACTTCTGCAGGCCAGTCTCCTCAATGAGCTCAGACTCCTATAAACAACTTTTTACTTTCGTTCCTGTAACAGGAAGTTCCTGTGTAGCAAGGGAGCACAAAGAACAGCCCTCCTTCCCTTGAGGTGGGAGGGGAAAAATGAAAGAACAAAACAGCAGAAGTTGCTTATCTATTTTTATTCCTCTGAAGCAGCAATGACAGAACACAAATTAATATTGCAATAAACTATCCTGCCTACCACCTCTCCGTGTCATCTTACCTTTACCACTACAGGGCATGCTTCCGAAAGACGTCGCACATTTTTATCCAAAGAGCCCCCATTGGCCAGACATCGATGTTGGGGGTGGGATGGACATCAAATCTCCAACTACTGAGATAATCGTATGATTGTTCTTGTTTCCTTGGTTAATCTGCTAAATTAATTGGTTTTCTAATCTTGCATTAATGAATACACCATCTTGCTCCTGATGTATTTATTGCTGGCTTTCATTTGCTAATTTTCTAAAAGGATTTTTGTTCATGAGAAAGTTTGGCCTTTTATACTTCTTTCTTTGCTATTTTTACTATCAAGTTTATGCTAGCCTCATAAGACGAGTTGGGCAGTGTTCCCTCTTCTCTTCTCTGGAAGAGTTTACATAAAGGTTACTATTTCTATTCCTTAGCTATATGATAGAACTTTCCAGTAAAACCTCATGAGCCTGATATTTTCTTGTGAGAAGATTTATTCATGTGAGAATAAATTTCAATTTATTCTTGAATCATTCTTAGTAGGTAATTTTTCAAGTTTATTTTCCTATTTCATCTAAGTTTCAGTTTATTGGCATAAAGCTGTTCACAATATCCTTTTAGCTTTTTATTCTTTTTTTTTCAGTTCTTCACGGTATTTTTCTCCAATTTTTTTTTACGGTGGTAAAATACACAGACATAAAATTTATTCTCTTAACCCTTTTTAAGTGTACAGTTCAGTGGTGTTAAATACATTCATAATGTGCTATCATCACCACCATCCACCTCCAGACCTCTTTTTGTCTTGTAAAACTGAAACTCTAAGCCCATTAAACAATAACTCCCCATTTTTCCCTCTCTCCAGCCCCTGGCAACAGCCATTCTGCTTTCTGTCTCTATTGTTTGACTACTCTGGGTAAAGTCAAGTAGAATCATGCAGTATTTGTCTTTTTGCCACTGGCTTATTTCGAATAGCATAATGTTCTCAAAGTTCATCCATGTCGTGGCATCTGTCAGAATTTCTTTCCTTTTTAATGCTGAATAATATTCCATTGTGTGTATATACCACATTTTGCTTATGCATTCCTCTGTTGATGGACACTGGATTGCTTCCATGTTTTGGCTATTGTGAATAATGCTGCTATGACATGGGTGTATAAATATCTCTTTGAGACTCTGCTTTCAATTCTTTTGTGAATATACCCAGAAGTGGAATTGCTGGATCATATGGTAGTTCTATTTTTAATTTTTTGAAGACCCTCCATACAGTTTTCCATAGAGGCTGCACAAATTTACACTTCCACCAACAGTGCACAAGCGTTCCCTTTTCTCCCCATCCTTGCTAACACTCGTTATTTCTTGTCTTTTTGATGATAGCCGTTCTGATGGTGTGAGGTGATATCTCACAGTGGTTTTGATATGCATTTCCCTGATGATTAATGATGTTGAGCACCTTTTGATGTACCTGTTGGCCATCTGTGTATCTTCTTTGGAAAAATGTCTGTTCAGATCCTCTCCCCATTTTTAAATTGAATTGTTTGTTTTTTGCTATTGAGTTGTATGAGTTCTTTATGTATTTTGGATATTACCCACTTATCAGATACATGATTTGCAAATATTTTCTCCCATTAAGTATGTTGTCTTTTCATTTTGTTGATGGTTTCCTTTGCTGTGCAGAAGATTTTTGGTTTGATGTAGTCCCACTTGTTGATTTTTGCTTTTGTTGCCTTTGCTTTTGGTGTCATATCCAAAAAATCACCGCCAAGACCAATGTCAAGGATCTTATTGCTTATGTTTTCTTCTGGGAGTTTTGTAGTTTCAGATCTTACGTTCAAGTCTTCAATCCATTTTGAGTTAATTTTTGTATATGTTGTAAGATAGTGGTCCAGTGTCATTCTTTTGTATGTGGCTGTCCAATTTTCCCAACACCATTTATTGAAGAGACTGTTCTTTCCCCACTGTAAATTCTTGGCTCCTTTCTCATAAATTAAGTGACCGTATATGCATGGGTTTATTTCTGGGCTCTCTATCATGTTCCGTTGATCTATGTGTCTGTTTTTATGCCAATACCATACTGTTTTGATTACTATAGCTTTGTAATATAGTTTGAAATCAGGGAGTGTGATGCCTCTATCCTTATTCTTCTGTCTCAAGATTGCTTCAGCTATTTGGGATAAATAAAGAATTTATTATTATTGTTTTGTACAATGGTTGTTCAGATTTACCTACATATTTTTCAATATCTGTGCTCACCATTCTTGCACCTATACCATTCCATCTGGGGTTATTTTCCCTCTGCCAGTGGTACATGTGTTAGACCTTTCTTCACTGACAGTCTGTTTATGGTAAACTCTTGGTTTTTTCTGAAAAAGTCTTTATTTTCTCCCTAATTACTGAAAGATCATTTTTCTGGGTCTACATTCTTGGTTGACAGTTATTTTCTCACAGCATGTGGAAGTTAGTACTCCTCCAGCTGTGGCTTCCATTGTTGCCGTGGAGAAATTAGCTGCATTTTTACTGCCCTTCCTTTGAAGGTAATCTGTCATTTCTTTCTGACTGCTTTTAAGATTTCTCATCATTCCTGTTCGATGATTTTGCTATAATATATCTTGATTTGGATTATTTTTAAAATTTATTCTGCTTGACATTCTTTGGGATTCCTGAATCTGATAACTGATGTCATTCATCAATTCTGGATGTTTCCTTCAATTACGACATCTCCTTTTTCTCTATGATGTTTTCCTGGAACTCCAGTGAGACATGTGCTTCACTTTATCCTTATGTCTTCTATGTCTCTTAACCTCTCCTTCACATTTTCTGTCTCTTTGTCTCTCTGTGCTGTGTTCAATTTCTTTTGATCTCTCTTCCAACTCATCGAATCTCCTATTAGCTGTATCTAATAAGACATTTAATCCAGCCATTTAAGTTTTGAAGTTTTAATTTCAATGATCATATTTTACATTTCTAGATATACCATCATAAATAAACTTGATGATTTTATAGCTTTTTCCTTGCTTGTATTTCTCTGTCTCCTTTATTTCTCCAAACATATGAATCATAATTATTTTTTTCTATGTCTTTTGAGAGTCTGATTCTAGAATCTGTTGTTTTGGTGGCTGTTACCAAAGGTCCGTTGTTTCTTTTGTGGTTTATAATTTTTGAGTGTGAGTCTTGCTCCAAGACTTTCCTTTTCGCAGGCTCCATGCAGCCCGTCCTCACTCTGGCCATCCCCTCTTTCTGCAGACACAGGAATGCCTGAGTGAGGCTGCAGCTGCCCTTTGTGAGCCAGGCTTGGCCAGGTTCCAGGCCTTTCTATTCTTGCTTTGTCTTGGGAGAATTCCTCTTCTGAGGTTCCTCGATCTCTCTATCCAGGTGGACGCCATGAGGGGCCTCTGCCCTGGACAGCATGCAGGTTAACCTGGAACCTTAGTGTTGAAACTTGCACAGCTTCCCCCAGCTGTCAGAGGGCAGGGAGGCATCTGTCAGCTTCGGGGGACATGTAGTAAGTGGCACTGGGCGATGAAAAGCAACGGTCATTTGTCAAATGTCTCTGGGGGCTGAGAACCTATTTTCACTTAATTCCCTCCCAAAACCTAGAATTTTACCAATAAAGAAACAGAGGCTGAGAAAGGGTAAGTATCGTGGCCAAAGATCACGCGTTTAGTAAGTGACAGAGCCAGACTTGGAACTCAGGTCTTCTTCCACAGCCCGTGTGTGTGTGTGTGTATGTGTGTGTGTGTGTGAGTTCTTCCTGCTTTTTCTGGATACTTCCACAATAATGGTGATGATTTGCTAAATGTTCTGACACAATAGCCTGCAGTTTAAAGTTTGGGTTCTAATCTATAGATGGCATAAGCCCTGATTCTTGACGGATAACTCTGGTGTCAAATGTCATCCTGATTTTACAGTGAGTAATTTTTAAATGTATAAGAGTCAGATTTCATAAATAGAGAAATTTTTTCCTCATTAAAAGAAATACATCACCCCTGATTTTCCCTAATGGTTAGGGAAGAGGAAGTGAAACCCCAGCCTCTCCTGAGAGAGTCTGTGGGGTAAAGGGCAGGGCAGTGGGCTGGGAGTGGGGACAGAGTGCTCATCCCCGCCCACCACCAACACTTGGCATCCCCTTGGGCAAGCCACTTGGCTCAGCCGTGTCTACGCAAAGTGGGCCCTGGTCTCCAGGGAGGAGGGGCAGATGTTGTGGGCCTGCACTCAGGCTGGCGTGCTCC